CTGCTTAATTTGTCCTAACGACAAACAGCAAGAGAAGCGAAATACAGATCTTGCCAACTGTGGCTTAGTTTCATACAGCAACTAACCCATACAGCCTGAAGTGCCCAGGGCAACATTTGTTCTCTCTCTCCCCCAACCCTGTGGCAATTAGATGCGCACCAAATGTGATTGAACGTGGCACTAATAGGAGCATAGGGAAAGCCCAGATTATATGCGGCGTGAGGTAGCTGTTGTATGTATGTGTAAAGTGTATATCTCTTTGTACATGTTTGCATGTTAAGGTGAATGTAGGCGTATGTGTATCTGATAGAAGAATGCATACAGAAGGGTCATACTTTGGTGGCTCCGATGCTGATAAATGCTAGTAGAACTCTACGACTAATTACGGACATGAAACTGTCTGTTGATTAACATTTGATCCTGTAAAGATGACAGTAACCAGCCCGAGGTGATAAAGGTCAACAGAGATTGATTATACCCCTACCATCAGGTGGTATCTAAACTCCAACAAGGTATACGCATACACCGCGCTGTAGTACCCCCGATCTGATCGCTCTCAAAGCCAGAAATAGGCAACCTTACGCAAGTGGCCGAAGCAGTAGGCGGTACCCATGAGGGCCTTACCAAAACCTCGCAGTCTCCGGCTTCGAGTCTCGCCAAGATCACTACCGAACCCGGCCGAGATGGAAACTGCAGGAAAAATATGCATTCAGGTGTAATTTCTTTCATTTTTCTGCGAATAATGTACGTTTACTCACTAACCCGGCCGACAGTTGGAGAGCCAAAAGGCTCTTATTGCGACATTTATAGAACATGCTAAGCTGCTGTCGGTCAGAACATGTCTGAAGAGCCATGCAAGACTTCGGCTAAATGTCAAGGTATTTTGATATTTGTCTTGGAAATTTTAATTAAGCAATTTAGACTGACAGCCCCCTAGAATGGGCTCGTCCTGAATTTACGACTTTCAAAGGATCTGTCCTATCATTCTTCATTATTGGACAACCGAGGAGCTGGTGTATCGAATTTAAGTTGGCTGCAATTGGGCAAATATCAAATGTTGTAACTACATTTTCGTTAGTTTTAGAGGCACACCTTTTCGGCCAATTCACACAGAACCGAAGAGGAGGCTTGGGTTTGCACTAAATATAGCTTCGCCTCGACTATCAACTAGTTGCTCTCATCTCCCGACTGAACTACACCTTCGTCTCAAAAACTCGATTAGCGTGATTCGAGCCGTGGACATTGCTAGGCAAACACTCTAGCCCCTTGGTCACGAGACCCTTTCTCAAACCACCTAATGTTATGAGAGATTTTTACGGATCGGCAACCGGATGTTTGCTGGTCAACTCAATAATCTACAGATTCTAAACCACTGGCTGGTGTAGATGTGTGTACGCCTAACGGGGTTCGAACCTTGGTCAGAGGCGCCAAACTATCTAAGCAGGCATAGACTTGCTCTATTCCTTGTTCAATATTTGCTCATAAACTCGAAAACTACGCCATCGAAACTGAGTTTGTTGAGATTACGTCAAAGAACCTCTTCCTGTGGAGCAGCTGCCAGTGAACTTATGCCAAATTTGGTTCATATCAAACAAAAGCTTGTGGCCGTTCAGCCCGACTCCCCAACTAGACAATGCGCAATCCCGGTAGAATTTATGCTTATGCCCATATTTGTGCAAATTCTTTGTAGACATTCACATTGAGTATTTTGTCTTAATAGGTTTTCAGACAATCAGTAGAGCCTTAATACGATAGTAAGTTGTACAATGATCTGTTGAGCGACAAATACACGTTTTTTGAGCTCATACCCACTTCGAAAGTCGATTACACCTAAAGGTATCGGCGGATTCCGCTTGACCAGATGTCGATTGGCTTCGCTGAAACATTTTTGTAGACGCAATTTGCGAGGAAATCTCCTTCTATTTGGTTGAAAAAGTGTTAAGCTTCGTCCGTCATATGACGGACATCCTCAGATCAGGTGTCATATTTACCATCATATTCAAGCTAGTGAGTCAAAAAAATAAATATTAATTTGATCCTTTTTATTAATCAGTATCATCATCAGATTATTGTGGAATTATGCGTCACGTCTTTACTACCATAACTTCAAGTCACTGCAAGTGCTCGAAGATTGGATAACTAAGTGAGGGCTTAGTTTAGTTTCTTGGTAGTAAATTCATCTATCAAGGCCCTCTTTAGCGAAAAAAACCTGGGCCGGCTCGAGTTTTAATTCTCTACATGATGTAAAGCTTGACCAATTGGTCAGATCGGACGCCTCCAGCACTGTTGTCCCAGTCCAAATGTAGTCCATATTTTTCCCGTTTCCAGGGCAGTAAGACCCATTGAACAGGCGGCTGAGCTAGGGCCAGCAGAAGAGCCCAGCTTGGCAACTAAGAACTGCAGGCTGTAAGAAGCTTTTGTCTCAAAGACGCAACACCTCATTCTTCTTGGCTTGGCTTCGTCTCAAGCGAGGGAGGCTGGGGCCGGAAGAGGGGTCAGCCCATTGCCGGTGAGCAGAGCCACCCTCGACCGCAGAAAACTTGAGGTCACAGACTTGCCTTCTAAAAAGGCCAACCTATCTACAGAACAAGCATGCATGCACAACTCGTCGGGCTCTAGGGCCAGACGAAAATCAGTCCGAGACGAAGCATTATCATATTAGCAGCAGTTTTACCGGGACGCAAGACAAGAGAGCATCTCGTATTCGGTACCATGCCGAAATTATATTTTACATTGTCTGAGGTTCTTCTGGTTCTAGAGGTTATCTGAGTCAATCTGAGGGTCTGCTTACTCGCCATTACACAAACTCTCCTGTTTTCTCAACCCAATTGTGCGAAAGCGATCTTGAGCTATCCGATCTAAATTTGTGTATATGGTAGACCATCTCCGTTTGTATGTATATAGGTAGGTATGTGTGTGTATGTATAGATGGATATATGAATGGATACATTTTTCTATGTATGTAGGCATATATGCATACACATTGGTATGTATATTGTGATATGTAGGTATGAATGATTGTCTGTATGAATGTATGCTGTAATATATATGCATGAATGTATGTAGGAAGTTATGCATAAATGTAATCTAAATGCATATATGAATGCTTTTATAAAGGTATGTTTCAATGTATGTATGAATAAATGTATGAGTGTATGTATGAATGTATATATGAATGTACGTAAGAATGTATGTATGAATACAGGTTTTAATGTTTGTTTGTAATATGTTTGCATGAATGTATGTATGAGTGTATGCTTATTTTTATGCACGAATGGATTTATAAATGTATGTATGAAGGTATTTAGGTATTCATACAGGAACTTGGGTATTATCGTGTATATGATTGTATGTATGAATGCATGTATGAATCTATGTATGAATGTATGAGTGCATAAATGTATCTATATATGAATGTATGCATGAATGTATATATGAGTATATTTATGAATTTATGTATGAATGTTCGTTTGTATATATGTGTTCTGTAATATGTATGCATGGATGTATATAGGATTGTAGGCTTAAATTAATGCATGAATGTTTATATGAATATATGTATGAATGTATATATAAATGTATGTTTGTGTGTATCTATGTATTCCTGCATGTATGTATCTGTGTGCTTGTCTAGGTATGCGCTTGTGCGTGCGTGCGAATGCCTGTACATGCCCTCAGCTCGCAACATGAGGCATCACGAAAGGGGCCTGATCGAGTCCGAGGCAGGCCAATAAATTTGCCGGTTTCCTGTGGGCCGCCTACAAACATGGACTCGAGCCCAGTTAAATGGGCGGATGGACAAAGGCATAGGTAGTCAAGATGAGACGGGTTGATTTTGGGCCCATAAGATTATAGTTCGTGCATGGCTTGAAGACGACATTTCCGAAATCGCCAGTGCCCTCCCGTCGGGCTCTACAGGGAGCCGATGGAGAACAATGTCTTTTAATCTGTGTGTATGTGCCTCCGTCTTTCTGACCGCTGAAATACTGGTTTTCAAAGAATCCCTTACAATGTGTACATCTGTGTTCGTGCCCAAATCACTCTATCTCTCGATGCTACGGTGAGACCAACCTACGAATCTCTTACTCTCAACTTTTCACACAAGACAAAGAGTACAAAGACATGATTTATGTCTTTATGTCAGAATCTATGAGCAGAATAGGGAGTGGTTGTTCACTTCCTTTGGCGCGAAAACGGTTTTTGATTGTGTCAAAGCCGAAAAGAGGCACAAGCCAGGTTTAAAGCAGATGGATTGAAAATGGGCGACGAGACAGAGAGCGGGATGAATGTTGGCTGCACCTCTGCCCTGACGGAGGTCGACTCAAATATGCCCTTTGGGCAGATGTGAGGTCATCAAAGCCCCATCGAAGTATCAGCATAGCCTGGCTTGGTAGACCTGAACCTATTAGCATACCTGCCTACTGTGCAATATAGGAAATAGGATAAAGCATTACTCGGCCGTTCCAATTGCTTCCGAGGCGTTCCAA